GTCTGTCTTCAGGTTTACGTCTCCTCCTCCCTCCCCGCAGCCTCTACCTAGGGAAAGGGCAGTCTCTCCCTGCAGTGGGAACCAAAGCAGCTGACATCATTCTCCTCTCCCCTGCATGATCCACACAACTACCCTATGAGGTACGTTAAGGTTGAAAGTGTGTGAATGGTCCATAATCCCCCAGGCAGCTTTTAAAACATGAACCTGGGACCTGCACACCATCCTCTGAAGCGCTCTCAGGTACTTATCTGTGGCAGTAACGGGGTGACTGCTGGCACCTTTTCCTATCATTTTTTGCCTTGTGGTATTCTACTTGTGGTGTGATCTGTCTTTTTTGTGGTGTGGCATGATTGTGTTATTGGGTTTGTTTCTTTTGAAGGGGAAGTGATGTGTTGTGAGTGAGGACATATTTTACCTCAGAATACACCAGGTCCCATATGCAACTGACAGTCCCAAATGTCTTGCGGGGCGGGGGGGGGTTGAGGTGCGGAATGAAGTCCAGTCAGCTTCCATATGCAAATGACCTTGAAACGCTGGTCCAATCAGAGAAGAGTGGCCTAGGTTGCAGTGGGTGGGAGAGAACTCAGGCAACACAGCCAGTGGATAGAGACACCTTGTGACTGACACATCACGGAGCCAACTGATTTTGGAGTGCATAGAACGTTGTGGGACCACTACTCAATTACATATAAGGAGAGATATATTCAGCTGTCTGGAATTTTCCAGGACACCAGTGAGTGGGTCTTGAAAAATCCCAGAAATATTTGGGATTAACTGAAAGTATTTGAAGCCACCTTTTGAAGGCTCTCAGGACTGCGTCCCCCCCCCCCCCACACGCGTCTGTCTCCCCAGGCTTGGTACTGGCTTGCCAGGTTTATTTGTATTAGATTATGCTCTTTTAAATTGTTTTTTTTTATTTTGCAAATGTGTGGTCTTTGTTTAAGTTTTTGTTTCATATCAGGTTTGCTTTCTGTGGTGATTTCTTGGACTTGACATTGCTTTAAATTTTCAGGTTGTACAATGTCTTAGTTCTGATTTTTACACTTGGTAGACTTGCAACAGGTTTTCTGTTAGGTAGGGCTTGGGCAATTCTTGGGTTCTACATGGGTACAGATTCTTGGGTTTGACATTGCTGTAGATTCTCAAGTTGTACATTGGCTGGATTCTCTGATTACACATTCGCTAGGCTTGCAACAAAAGAAAATGAACAGTCGGTTTTTACACCCTGCTTTTCTCTTCCCGAAGGAGACTCAAAGTGGCCTTCAATCCCCTTCCCTTCCTCTCACCACAATAGGCATCTTGTGAGGGAGGTGGAGCTGAGAGTTCTGAGAACCACGAGTGGCCCAAGGTCACCCAGTAAGCTTCATGTGGAGGAGCACAGAATAAAAGCTGATTCTCCAGATAAAGAGTCCACTGCTCTTTATCTTTTGGCTCCGTGATATCCAGATACAAGAAATACCAATTTTGTTTTGAGCTGCACATCCCTATTCCTGAACTGATGAGTGCTACCAAACGGAAAGCCAATCCTTTTTGCACATTTAGAGTGTGCCAAGCCTGCTCTTTCCCACCCCACAGATCAGGAAAGAAAATAAGTGATGACATCCTAAAGTGCAGAGGTATGCCATAAGTTTTGGCACAGCAGCATACAGGCCATATTCACAACAGGATCCCGCAGCCTGAACACCTGATGCAACCCGGCATCTTGGAGAAGGCATTTGAGGGAGATGCAATAAGAATTCAAGCCTAACAAGGACAGTTCAAGAGAGGCTGAATAGTATCACTACTGGAATGAAAGTCTATCACTGCCATGGTGCAGTTGGGATTGATCAGGAACCAAGGCCAGACTTGCTTACACAACAACCAGAGGAAGAACAGGCTTTCGTCATCAGGGCACCAAAATGATTTGCCTCCCTCTTCAGGTCCTGCAGATGCAAGGCCCATGACCAACTGCTTAGGTACCAACGCCTCATGATTAGGCTGTACTTGGACTCGGTGGTCCATGTGGAAGTAGGGATTTGGCAGAGACACAGTGTAATTCTAAAGAGCAGGCATGACTAGAAGCTCCAGAAGTCAAACAGGGCCTCGGCTACTGAGGCCTTTTCTAGAGCAATGGCCAAAGTTTAGCTATGCACGGAGGATTCCTAACAACACGGACAAAAGCCAACTGCCTTATGCTTCTGACAAAGACAAACCAAATCAGGTTCTCTTCTATTCCCAAGGAACAGTTTTTTAAAAAACGAGAACCCACGTGCCATAGACACTCAGAACTAGAAGAAAACATCAGTGCAAGGAAAACGAAGGATGTTGCCCCTCTCTCTGGATGAAATAGGAAAACCTCAACTAAATTGAGAGGAAAATAATTGGCTAATGAGCTCACTGGTAACAGGTCCCTCCAGGATGTTACTCTCACAGAAGAGAACTGAGCAGGGAAGGGCTCATCCACCCCCTCAGATGTTGCCCAGTTAGAGCAACAGGGGCGGAGGAGGGGAAAAGATGACCACCAGGTTCCTGGCTAAAACTTTCGATGGTTTCTGGAGTTTGCTCTGCGCAAGCACAGAATCCATGGGTGGGAATGCAGCGGCCCTAATGCAAAATTGTCAGGCAGACTATTCCAGAAGATCAACAGTATGCATTCTAATGATGGGAAGTAAACTTCTATTGTAATTAAGGGGATACTGCAAGACCTAGCCACCTAGACGTACAGATCGAACAGGCTGTTATGAAGTGTTCCTTTATATTAGAAAGATTGTTAAAATCTCCTACCTTTTGCTGTTCCTGGGTGGAAGTGGAGACTTTCTGACACTCTTACACAGTTAGCTCTGAAAGTTAACCTGGTGTCCGTTTTCTTGACTCTCTCTCTGAGGGGGAAACAAAGATTTGTCAAAGGGATTAGTAATAAACTCTCACAGCAGCATGATGCTAGTATATTACGCTCCAGGGTAGCATGATGCCAAGGCCAGAACAGAAAGTACATGGGCATCAGCTTTGGTATATGAATGTCACTTGCAACTATAATCAGACCACTGCTTAAGACGTCAGCGGCATCTACGTGCTATGGAGCACCTCCTTTGCAAATACTATTTGTAGTGAGTTCAGACGAAGATCCTTCCTCTCATACCTTTAGGGAGAGAAGTATGTGCAAAGCCAAGTCAGACCTCCAGAAGCTATACAAAGGCCCCGGTCACACGGGCCGGATATCGCGGGGGGGAGGCGTGGCTAATTGCCCCGGAGGAAACTAACGCGTGGCTGCCCCAGCACACGTCCTGGTCGAGGTCCTGTGGGTCGGGGGAAATGCCAATCAGACGGGTATCCTGCAGCGCGGCACAGAAGCCGCGCCACGTGATCGCACTAGCAAACGCTCTTTGTGCGCATGCGCTGTTGGGCGGTTGCGCAACCTGCGGAGATGAACAGCGGCGGGCGCTGGATGCCACATAAGTCCACCGGGAATGTAATCAGACGGCCGCCGTTGGCCCGCGGTTTCAGGAAACTAGTACCTCGTAGATACTAGTTTTTAACTCCGCACCTTCGGCGGGGAGGCACGGGTTCACCACGGGAGCACTGCGCTTCCCAGATGTTGGGATGCGATCGCGCCTGGAAAATCTGCGGGGCTCCCATGCCTCTCCCGCGGCAACTTTGCTGTGTGACCGGGGCCATAATGGCACAGATGCAAGGTTGATTAAGAAGCCTGACTTTTGATTTTCAAAAAGACCTTTCCTTAAGGGAAGTGTGGGGTCTACTGTGGGATAACAGGTCAAAATTATGCTTCTTCTAAGAGAGCCTTTGTTTCACCATGCAAGTGCCTATTCAAAGGGAATCAAAAACACCCTCGGACTGTTCACCCACACAAAGCCACCCTGTTTTACCTTACCTTACCCTACAAGTGGGGAAGGAAGAAGCCTGCCTGGTTTTGACAATGCCGCTGAAGCCATTCCAGCCGAGTGGCCTTTATGCAAACTTTGGCATTAGAAGAAGCCTTCGGATGGTTGCTTGTCCATCCTAATCAGTCACAGGAACCTCCACCTACCCAAGAAGCCATCAGAGGGTGCTTCTTAATTACTTCTCCTGGATACTGAACACCTGTGGCTGCTGCTATCTTAAATGCTCAGTCCTGGGATAAGGGAGAGTTATTAAGGGGCCCCAAGGCTCTTTCAGCTCCATTTGATCTCATTTGTTGAATGAGTGTAAACAGAAACCAATGGTGGCTAGCCTAGGAAAATTTCTCTTAAAAAACTGGAATAAGGAAGACAACTAATAAGCAACAGTACAACCGCTGAACCTCTGTGTCTCCCAGATCCTAGCCCACAACACTATGCCACGCCAGCTTCCGCTACAAATGGTGTCGCAGAGGAATAACTCCAGTGACAGACTGAACACCGCTGAAATAAGAACTCTCCCCCAGAAGCAGCAGTGAGAGTGAGAACCCTGGGGAGAGTCCGTCAACAGGGAGACTTTGCCTCCAAAAAGACTAGGTTTAGAGGTGCAGGTCTATCGTTGACAGGGAAAAACAGAAGCAACCAAGGAGCATCAAACCACTGCTGATATTTCCAAAGGCCACCATGGAGTCAAGAGGAGGGGCGAACTGCTCAGGCTTGCCTCCAAAAAGTGTTCTCTGCTGACTGGTTTCTGAATTCCCCACGGAAATGGCAATAACAAGCCTTGCCTCTGCTTGAAAAAAACACCTGTGCTGAAAAACCCCTTAGGATTAGCAAGTGGGCCGGGAGTCGAGATCAACAAAGAATCAGTTCTTCTGACCCTGGAACTGAGGCAGTGTTCACGGAGCAAATGGTAAAATAAAGCTCAGTAGGCCTTAAGCATAATTTGTTTGTTGTCTCAGGAGCCAGGAGTTTCCACCCACTTCAGCAACTCTCCAAAACTACAGGGACTGAAAAGGCCCAAACAATCCCAAGAAAAAGGCACGATACCCTCCTGATACATAACGCCTTTCACAAAGAGCCACTGAGAATTTGCAAGGCTCTGTTAACCCATACCTCCAAGGACTTCATCTGAGGGAAACCAGGAAAGGGTTCCATCAGTCGGGCATAGCTAAGCCTTTAGAAGAACTTCCCATCAGATCACATCTCCATGCTTCTGGTCCAAACGGAGTGAAGCCAGCAAGGGGGAGGGATTTCTTCTGTCCAGCAGTGTCTGCCAGGCCACACCTTGAGAGAAGCCAGGGAACGAGAGGTATGCCTTCAGGCAGGCAGGCAGGTAGGCAGGCAGGCAGGCAGGCAGGCAGGCAGGCAGGCAGGCTGCAGCCAAAGCCTTAGAAAAGAGCCAATCTGCACTGGAGGCTCTGTCAGGCAACGCCCCCAGGTTTCTCCCCTCAAAGCTGACAAAGCCAAGGAGGGGGAATGTGCCTTTATTCCGGATGATGCGCAAATGAAGCCTTTGAAAAGAGCCACTGAATCCAAGGCTCTGTCACGCCACACCCGGCCAGGGAGGGTGAAGGTGCCTTTGTTCAAGCTGGTGTGCAGGCAAGGCCTCTGAAAAAGAGCGCTTTTAGATCCCGTTCTATCAGATCATGTCTTCAGGGAAAACTGGTGAGAGAAAGAGCAGGCACCTCTAGGGTGTGACCCTCCAGGCAGGTAAGGCACAGAGGACGGGCACTGATCAGCCCCACTTTGAAGCCACAGTCAGTACAATCCAGGGAAGGCCCCTTTTGAGCCATAACAACCAAGTGGAAAGACAGAAACTTTTCTTCTTCAAACGTAGTTTATTTCTCACTGGAATGAATACTGACCACAAAAACCTTTTGACAGAAACAGGTCTTTTGATAGAAATAAGTCTCAATTGATACTTGGGCCAGAGAGGGTGAGACAGTCACCTTAACAGAGCTAGCTCCCCCCCCCCCCCCCCCTTGGTCTGCCATTAGTCAAAAAAAAAAGTGTGTGTGTGTGGGGGGTGGCGATACACATCTGAGGGTTGTTTTCCTTCAGGGCCCTCCCCACTCCAAGGATCTCCGCTATTATGTTGGCCTGCTGCGGGATGCTGAGGAGAGTCTGGCTGGTGTACTGACCGCCTAGCACACCAGCAGACACAGCCCACCAGGCCTCCTGGAGGTGGCAGCAGGCTGGGCCTTGCAGTTCTTGAGATTAATAATCCTCAGGGACTTCAACATCCATGCTGATGTAGCTGCCTCTAGTCAGGCCATGGATCTGGTGTCCTCCATGGCAGATCCAACTAGTTTTCAGAATGCTCTGTGGGATCCAATGCCTCCCTGAGGTTCATTGGATGCGCTAAGAGGACTGGAATACCCATTTCTCTGAAGACATCAATGAAATTGCTTTGACACCCTCTTCACGCCCACCCCAAACTAGCCCCATGGTACAACGTAGAGTTCAGGGGGATGAAGCGTGAACGTAGATGGCTAAACCGAGTTTGGCGATGGTCTCACAATGAAGTTGCCAGAGCATCTTATAGATAGTTTATGAAAAAAATATGAGATGGTGGGGAAATCTGCTAAAAGGGAATTTTTTACAGACTCCATCACACCCACTAGCTCTTGCCCAGCACAATTATTTAGGATAATTAGGTCCTTAACCTCTCTTACAGAGAGAATTCAAAGGACTAGAAATTTGGCCATTAGCTGGGAGGCTTTTGCGAGCTTTTTTGCGGATAAAGTCTTGTCACTTTGTCGCGACCTAACAGCCGACAGTGATACAGTATGTGAATTGGAGGTCCCTTGGCTTCAGCCAGCTCCCCTGGGATACTGGGTGCTGTTAAGACAACCACTTGCCTCTTAGACATGTGTCCATCATGGCTGGTGAAAGCCAGTGGTGATGGAATATGGGGGCCCCTGGAGAACATTATCAATCTGCCCCTTAGTACAGGGGTCTATCTGGGGGGGGGGATTAAAAGAGGCAGTGGTAACACCGCTCTTAAAGAAATCATCACTGGATCCTTCAGCTCCTGCCAATTACCACCCAGTCTTGAATCTTTAGTTTCTGGGTAAGGTAAGCATGGTGGCGGAACAGCTACAGTCTCCTGGAGGACACATTGGCTTCTGCCCTGGCCACGGGATGGATACGGAGCTGGTTGCCCTCATGGACAATCTCCATAGGCAGCTGGATCAAGGCGGGTCAGCAGCACTGCTGTTATTGTTAGATCTGACAGCAGCGTTCGACACGGTAGACCACAGCCTGTTGATCCACTGACTCGCCAATGTAGGAATTTGTGGGGTGACCATTCCAAATTATGTCTAGGCTTTTTGTACATCTAAGGGTGCTCACACCATTTTTTTTGTCACCATGAAGCTCTTAAAGATGCAGGCTTGGATCTAACTGTCAGCAGAAAACATGGGTGGATGCAGATTTCCCCCCACATCCTCTTCCCCTTGGCAGTTCCTTTCAACTCCTGAAGGAATGATTCCTGGAAGTGCAGGACCCACAGGGACAAAAAGATGCAGCTCAGGGTGACCACCCTGAAGATGGAGAATGGAACAAAGCTGGGAGACAGGGAAAATCCACACATCCTGTGCTGACGGCAGGTCAGATCCTGACTAAGAGCATCAAATCCATGGGTTTTAAATACATAACAAGATCAATTTTTACACTAAAAGAAATCAAGAAGATTCATTTTAGATTTCCAATAGACATATTACTGCTAAATGCACAAGCAATACTGAGTATATTTTGTAAGTTAATACCTACTTGTCTGACTGCGGCTTTCCTTTCTTCTTACTTATTACAGGCAAACTCCTTTTCTCTCCTGAGATCTAGACAACAAAAGAGCATGTCAGGAACCTTCTGCTAAGGCCAAAATAGCAGTCCTGACACCAAGTTGCACATGCATGAGAAACAGTTGCCTATTCAGAACAATACAAACTGTCCTCCTAAAGCAGAAATGGTTACATACTTAATAAATTTTCAAGTGCCTTTCTCCTGAATTATTAATGGCAGGTTACAAGATCAAACACAGAATACATAAAGATAGACGCAACAAACCGTTACAGAAATAAGTAATGCTTTTAGGAGAAGACTTCTCAGATTCGGTGTTCGGCAGCATCATATGACTTAGAGCCCAGCTGCAACATGCCTTAATCCTGTTAAACTATTTTACGTTTGATATTTTATAAATTTGCATTATACTCATTTCTTTTATATTTTATTGATCCAGTATACTTATAACCTCAGTTATGGTTTCCTGTAACTTTTATATATGCCTCATTAAAAAAAAGGTTCGACAGGATTACTGTTGCTTAAAATGTAACAGAGATGTAACAAAAAATTGCAAACGACACAGAGGCCACTCGGCTTCAAGTCACAGACGGCCAAGGGGTAGCTTGTTGGTCGCACCCGGCTTCCGAGACCATTTTCGACTGACATCTGCTCCAATTCATACCATCCAGCACAAGAGCGATATAGAAGAAGTTCATGCAGTGTTCCGGGCTTCAGCAGCAGTATGGCTTCTCACCAAAATGCAGGCGAGGAACAGCACTACGCAGGTTAAAAAGAGCCTCACACGCCTCTTGCAAACGGGCACACACTTCAAGCGCTCCAAAAGCCCACCCTCTGAACACACACCAACATTCCAAAAGCCCATGGGAAATATTTGCACTCCATGTGCCTGCTGCATCATGGTCATTGCCCAGCTCCTGTATTAAGTGCCCCCCCTGTACCTACTACAAGAGAGCCAGCGTGGTGTAGTGGTTAAGAGCAACATACTCTAATTTGGAGAACCGGGTTCAGTTCTGCACTCCTCCACTTGAAGCCAGCTGGGCGATCTTGAGTCAGTCACAGGTCTTTCAGAGCTCTCTCAGCCCCACCCCCCCAAATAATAAGTCTAGCTCACCATCTAGCGTTGCATAATAGTGAGCTAGAACTTCAGGCTGCCAGACAATCTTAGGATCGCCTGGCTATACATACATAATGCCATGCAATAGTTATTAATTATTAGAAGACTACATTTGTCATCCCTTCTTTGTGAACAGGGAAGCAGACTGATAGATGTTTCCATTGCTAAAGGTAAAATTAAAGTCTCTTAAATTCAATGTAGTACCATAGCTTGTCATATAGGTTGCGTACCTATTAAGTAACATGTTGTGGAGCCCTATGTCATGAAAATAAATACCTGATCAAGTAGCGTACAGTGTTCTGGGTGCTGCTGCATAGCACAGCTTTTCCTTCTCCAGTCTGCCATACCATTGTGCTCAGAATGTGTTGTATCAAAGCCGTCCATGGCACAGCATTTTGTGTTTACTGCACTATTACGAAAGAAACACACAACATTCTCACTCGTGTTACGCCTCCGATTTGAAATGCAAAGAAACCACTATCTGCTTTCCCAAAGACCATTTCTTTTCATTACACTTTTCTAAACAGACCATGTTTCTGAATCATCTGCAGATACAGGATAAACACGGAGTGGTCAACAGGCCTTGATATAACTTTTTTTTACCCAGTCAAAGGTAGACATGGGTTTTACCAACTCATCGTTAAGTGCAGGAAGTTACATAAGGGAGAAATTACTCCCTAAGGTGGATCTGAGGGGAGAGTCTGTGGCTCCGTGCTGGAGCATCTGCGTTGTATGCAGAAGGGTCCAGGCTCAATCCCCAGCATCTCCAGTTACATGGAGCACACAGTAGGTGACCTGAAAGATTTCTGCCTGCAACATTGGAGAGCTGCCGGAAACAGACAATAATAATGAATGGCAGCCCTGAAGTCACGCTGAAGACATCAGAGGACAAGCAGAAAGGTAACTAAAGGAGCAGGCATCCTAGGTAAAAATTGGGCACTCTGTCACTCTTAACGACTTGCAACGCTGCGGAAGGATATTCTCCATAGCCATTTCTTTGTACATTCTACACTCCCTGTTTGAGAAAGTTCTAAATGTTGCCTTCTAGATTAACAGACTGAGTGAACTATTCTAAGCCCATCAGAGGAACCCATCATGAATACATGCATCGAAATAGTGATAAATCCATGGATTTTTCTAGAAAAACAATACCTACTTGGCAACAGGACATTTTCCATTATGTTTCTTATGGACCGCTGTGTGCTGTATTATTTCTGGAAGGAAAAATGAAGTATGAATAAACAAAGCATATTGATGAGATTAACTTCTAAACCAACTAGAAAGTTACAGATTCTGTGGGAAGGGAACGGCGTTCTGTGTGCCTCAGCATTTAGTCATGCCAGGCACATGACCACAAAGAAATATTCAGACAGTGCTGGCTCTTCGGCTTGGAAACTGAGATGAGCACCGCCCCATAGGGTTGGATTAGACTGGCTTTCGAGCAAGGGAAACATTTACCTAACTAGGATTTATTCAGTACATTTGACAGTTCTGCAGCGATCCAAAAGATAAGTCATGCCATTCAATGGGACACTTTAATTAATTAGCTTTGCACTGCGTTCTTTTATCCCAAACCATAACCATTCTGAATCACTGATTATCTATAAAACATACATGAAGCGGCCTTTGACTTGGTCAGCACATTGGTCTAAGAATTTTTCTTCAACCCAGCTATTCAGGGGAACATGAAGATGTTCAGCTTCCTTTTCCAAGTGACATGATGACATTCTTGTTTAGATTTTTATGAATTGTAATTTATGGTTATATATATTTTAGCTGATTGATTGCAGGCTGCTTGGACCCCTAGGTTAGGGGTCCTACACAAGAGCACTGCAGTTTCATCAATATTTATTCACACTGGTTAACTAATGCCAAACTGCCTTGACATTCTTTGTAAAGTATTGCGGTGGGACCAGGCAAAAATGGAAAGGAAGGGAACGGAGACGTAGAAGAGCTCGGTCCCCTTCCAGCCTGCGCCCCATCCCGAAGGTAGTAGGTAGTGGGGCTAGGATTATTGACCCCTCTCCAAAATAGGTGTTGTGCAATGCCAGGTCCATAAATAACAAGACCACAGTCCTTCATGACTTTCTGTTAGAACAGGACACGGACCTGGCATGCGTGACCAAGACCTGGGTGCGAGATGGGGAGACTGTAGCTCTCTTCCAGTTAGCTCCTCCTGGGTTCTTGGTCCTTCACCAATCCCGGACTGGGGGGGGGGGGGTAGCTTTATTCATTCAGGAGAATTACACCTTCAGGGCGCTTCTGCAGCTAAAGCTCACGGGCACAGAGTGTGCCGGCTTTGTGTGGGAAGCCGGGGAGAGTTTGGCTGTTTGGCTGGTGTACCATCCGCCCAACGCACCAGCAAATAGCCTGCCATCCCTGCTGGATGCCGTATCAGGCTGGGCACCGGAGCATCCTAGACTGTTAGTCCATGCCGATGACGTGACCTCCACGCAGGCAATGGATTTGGTGTTGTCCACGGCAGCGCTAAGACTCTCCCAATATGTTATGGCTCCCACTCACCAAGCGGGGCACACACTCGATCTGATCTTCGCAGCGGGGGTCACAGTGGACCGAATTACTGCTACGGCGGTCCCACGGTCAGACCACCATGCCCGGAAGGCATGCGTGAATGTGCCACCCCAACTCTGTTTAGGCGTTGAGCGTATTTTAGCTTGCCTGCGGAGCCAAATGGACCCTATGCAGTTCCAAATGGCTCTGTGGGATCCAATGCTCTCTGGATGAGTTTGTCAAGGACTCTCTGGATGAGTTTGTCAAGGACTGGCAAAAACTTGAAACTCGAGGCTCCATGCGCATCTTCTGGTCAAGTTCTAGATTATTTAAGTCCACTCAGCCTAGAGGAGGCTGACAAATTACTCTCAGCAGTTCACCCGACCACTTGCAGCCTTGATCCGTGCCCATCATGGCTAATTAAAGCTGGCCGTGAGGGGTTACAAGGTGCACTAAGGGAGATCATCAACAAGTCCCTTGCTGAGGGACTGTTCCCTAGTGCACTAAAGCAGGCAGTGGTCCACCCTCTCCTAAAAAACCCCATCCTTGGATCCGGCTGAATTAGCTAATTACCGGCTGGTATCCAATTTGCCTTATTTGGGCAAACTGAGAGGGCGGTGGCGATTCAGCTGCAAGGTTTTTTGGATGAGAACTCCGCATTAGACCCCTTCCAGTCTGGTTTCCAACCAGGCCACAGGACAGAGACGGTCCTGGTTGCCCTCACAGATGATCTCTGCAGGCATCTGGATCCAGGCGGTACAGCAGTGTTGTTGTTGTTAGACCTGCCGGCAGCGTTGGACATGGTTGACCATTGACTACTAACCCACCACCTCTCTGACACCAGGATTCAGGGGTTTGCCTTGCAGTGGCTCTCCTCGTTCCTTCAGGGTCAGGGGAAAAGGGTGGTTGTTGGGGAACAGCTATCCGGAAGGCACCCACTAACTTGCAGGGTGCCCCAAGGAGTGGTGCTTTCCCCAATGTTATTCAATATCTATATGCGTCCCCTTGCACAGATTGTCCTGAGTCACAGACTGGGTTGTCACCAATATGCGGCTGACACCCAGCTCTACCTGTTGTTGGATGACCAGTAAGACCCTAGTCCGGGAGATCTGGACCTGGCGCTGAAACCTGTGGCTGGTTGGCTTAGGGTGAGTCAACTGAAATTGAATCTGACGAAGATGGAGGTCCTGTGCCTGAGTCAGTGGGCCAAGGTTAGGGATCCCACTCCCAACCTTCGATGGGGCACTGTTGGTGCCAGCGCCAGAGGTTAGGAGCTTGGGAGTGCTCTTAGATGCCTCCTTAACGATGGAGGCCCAGGTAGCAGCCACTGCAAAGCCTGCCTTTTACCATCTGCGGCTGATCAGGCAGTTGGTTCCCTTCCTTGAACGCAATGACCTGGCAACAGTGATCCATGCAATGGTCACCTCGAGATTGGATTACTGCAATGCTCTCTAAATGGGGCTGCCCTTATCCCAAATCTGGAAGGTGCAGCTGATGCAGAATGCAGCAGCGAGGCTGTTGTTGTGTCTCCCTCTGCCAGAGCACATCCAGTCTGCCCTAAAAGCACTGCACTGGCTGCCTATAGCATACCAGATTTAGTTCAAGGTGCTGGTTCTTACCTTTAAAGCCCTATATGGTCAGGACCACCTTTCCCCATATGTTCCCCAGAGAGCACTAAGATCGGGGTCCTAAAACCGTCTGCCCCTTCGGGGCCCTAAAGAAGCCAGGCTAGCTGTGATGAAGGCCAGGGCCTTTTCTGTGGCGGCCCCATACTGGTGGAATGAGCTTCCAGATGACATCAGGGCCCTGCGGGACCTTTTACAGTTCCGCAGGGCCTGCGAGACGGAGCTCTTCCACCAAGCTTTCGATGAGCGTGCCGCCTCCCAATACTGTGGCCCCAGCCCCAATATCAGTACCAACTTAATAACTACCGGTAACAGCCTGGCAAGAACCCAGACTATGGTAGTAGTTGACTATCTGGATGCCAAAACAATGCCATCACGTATTAGCACCTATGTTTACTAGCATTTATATTTTGTATGTTGTGGTTTCATTTAAAGCTTGTGTTTTAATATATCCCTTTGTTTTATTTATATATATATATATATATATACACACACACACACGCGAGCGCTATTTTTGGGCAGGAAGGCACAGGAACGGAGTTCCGGCTGGCTCCCGAGGTCGCCACGCCCAGCAGGAACTCATTAGCATAATAGACCACACCCAACAGCAGAAACTCATTAGAATTGGCTACATTAGGGGTGTGTGGCCTAACATGCAAAGGAGTTCCTGCTACAAAAAAAGCCCTGGGTCTTGACAACAAACAAGGTAAACAGAATAAGAAGCAAAAGGTGGGTGTGGCTGGATGACCATACTTCTGGTAACATGGGAGTGCGGCCTAATATGCTAATGAGTGGGGCTGTCAGGGTGTGGCCTAATATGCTAATGAGTTTCTGCTGTTGGGTGTGGCCTATTATGCTATATATTCTGTAAGCTGCCCTGAGAGCCTGCCCTGGCAGGGAGGGCGAGATACAAATTAAACAAACAAATAAATAATAAAGCCTATGCAGACATTACAAAGTAAAATGACAGGGTACCCCCCCTAGCATGTTTGCTCTCATATTGATTGAAGCCCAGCTTTTTTATTTTTATAGCAAAACTGTGCACATTCAGCCATAGCCATGTAGTTACAAGCTTCTGATTCCCACAGCTGCTGTACTACCTAGGTATAAATGAAGCAGGCCCAAGGTGCCTGGGCCAAGCCATGTGTTGCTGCCTTATTTCAACTCCCCTATGATATAGAAAGTGTTAGTGCCTCAATTCACATTACTGTTTGCCCTAACCTTCACTTTCACAACAGCGTCGACTGTTTCGTATGCCAATAAACTGTACATTTCATCTTTTAGCGTAGGATCTTACCTTCTTCCTGACTTGAAGCCTCTGAACTGTCCCCCTTGAAGTGTTCCGGTGTCTTAGATGTCTTTAAAGAAGACTGGTTATCTGAAAGGTAATCGTTGAATAGTTTCAAATACACACTACAGAAAAAAGTGAGATTTGAATAGGGCTATGAAAACTGAAAGTTTCAGCAAGAAGCTTGTGGGCTCAGGGCTAAACATAGGGGTGCGTTACCTAATAATGCAGCAGTTGGTTGGCAGCCAAATTTCTTTAAAATAGCAGCTCATGGGGGATGCTTCATATTGCTTACTGCTCTCCAAAAGAGGAAGCATCGCTCACATTCAGTGGTTTGAGACCGTGTATACAGTTCTCTATTGCTAACTCACATCCTCCTTATACAATTAAAGATCCTCTAATTAGGTGTAACATATACACAGATGGCCTAAACAGTATTCATTGAACACTGGGTGTCTTGAGGGTTTTACTTCTGGGAATTTCTACTTGGCAGACAAGTCAGTCTGGAAACAAACCCTTTGGTGGGGAGTCATGAGGAAAACTGCAAGAAAGACAGTTAGCAAACACATATAGCTCCACTGCGTTGGGCTTAAACAATTTATTAATACAAAGTAAACAACTGGAGCTTATTTGGACTTAAATTACCTTCTTCTGAGCTAATACCTAAAATCTCCCCATCCTTTCACTGTAAAGAGTACAGGGATGAAATCAGCCTATTTTAATGCATCAGCTGCCAGCAGTATATCCACTAAGGACTTTTAATCAATCTCTCCTTAATCTAAAAGGGAATTGGGGTGGTGAGAAGAAATGCGCTCCCTCAGCCATTAGGGTTGCCACTTGGGGCAACGGGTGTGCCATTGGCTGGGGGGGGGAGAGGGATGAGGCTAGCCGGCTTGGTGCGTGCAGCTGGAACAGGCAGCGAGCGGCCATCCCCCGCTCGCTGCCACTTCACCACTACGTGCACCGCTCGCTCGCTTGCTCGGGCGGCCGGTGGGGAGAGGGATGAGGCCAGCTGCCTTGGCATGCTGGGCCCTCGAGCGGGTGGGAGGGCGGGGAAGGAGCCAGCCCGCCTGGCTTGGCCCGCCACCAGCGCGCGGTGCTGTGGACGGGCGAGGCCTGCCACCTTTGGCAGCCGCCTCCTCCAGTGCGCTGACAGAGGAGGGACGAGGCCAGCTGGCTTGCCCCGCCACCTCCAGCATGAGGCGGGGGGAGGCGTGTGCCTGGCCACCGGGGAGCCGCTGCGTTCTCCTTTGCCAGAGCATGGGGGGCGGGACCCCCCTCCGCCGGCCTCTCTCTAGGGCCCGTTGCCTCTCTTCCTGCAATGGGCTTTGTGCCTAGTATTCAAATAATACAATTTTGAATAAGCTGGGCTTAATTATAATTCCCTTCAGTTCATCTCACTGAAACTTTTTAATAGGAGTTTTCCAGCACAAATGGAGTAGCAGGTACTGAACAAATTTTTTCCCCAGGAGCTGCAGAATATGTATTCATTAAGATTCATCATCTGAGGCCTAGAATTCATGTTGCCAGCTGTAAGAAAAGCATGAGCCCAATAGGATCAGCCAGTTGTGCTAAGAAAGTACAGGATATCATTTCATTCCCTGGACACGAACACCAGATCCAAAGGCCGACATCAGCCTTACAGCAAGTAAAAACAAAATCCTTGTTGTCCCCAGGTCCAATAGTTTAGCAGACTGTGACTTTCTATGCAATGTGTTTTGAACTCAAATTTAAAACTGAGACAAAGCAAACAGTAGTACACAGTGTTAATAACTATCTTCGGGCTCATGCATAAAGAATATTTCATAAGAACATGGACTGCCTTACTGACAATTCAGTTAAAATGGATTTCTTGAATTTAGACAGACAGTCGCATGGAAGTCAATGTCAAGTGTATCTGAAGTCAGCTAATCTGACTCATACATCAGGCTTCTGATACACTGAGTGACAGGAGCTTCATGTGCACCTGTAATACCAATCAGGAGAACACTTAGAAATGTCTTACTGTGGCTGTGCAAAGCTTCTGATGACAGAGACTGAAAGAAGTGGTTCACACTCTGGTGCTGTAGAAAAGCTTGTGACGTAGTTGAAAACAGCTGCCTAAAAATAAAGGGGAAATTTGCTTATGTAAAAGAAGTCCATTTAAGGCTAAGTAGGTATTATTTTTTTAATTCTGCTGATCTCTCTTGTCAATGCAAACCAAACACCCTAAGTAGTTAAGGGCATGAACTATCCCTGCACAGACCCAAAGGACAGGGCACCTATTGCTAACCGGACTCCAACCTTTAAAACCCACACCCTACTCAAGAGTGGTAAGTTAATTTTTACAGTTTGAGAATAATACTAATAGGTAAAGGTTTCCCTTGTTCGAAAGCCAGTCGAATCCGACTCTAGGGTTGTGGTGCTCATCTCTGTTTCCAAGCCGAAGAGCCAGCGCTGTCCAAAGACATTTCCATGGTCATGTGGCTGGCATGACTAGATGCCGAGGCGCACAGAATGCTGTTACCTTCCTTCCGAAGCAGTACCTATTTATCTACTTGCAATTTCTTGCTTTCGAACTGCTAGGTCGGCAGGAGCTGGGACCAGAGATGGGAGCTCACTCCGTCATGCAGCACTCGGGTCTGGAACTGAAGAACTACCGACCTTCCAGCCTGCAGTTCAGCGTTTTAACCACTTGAGCCACCGCAGCTCCATAATACTAATACTTGACCCAAAATGAGGGTTACTTCGCACATTACGAGGTAGCAGAGGCATGCTTTTTACTCCAAGTACGTGTGGTAGAGAGCTTCAGTCTAGTCTAGAATATATAACTAGACAATAACCACAAGTGATAACTTCCATTTGGCACATGCACATATGCTAATGGGTAAATGGGATGCAGTGCATATGCCACTGAGGGTGCCTGGCCAATCTCTGATCACCAGGAAGCCATGGATTAAATAAAACATTTGTAGAACGGTATGTGAAACACAATGGTAAAACTCAAAGAAGTGCAATCCGCAGTTGTTTCCCAAATTTTATATGGGCCTTTATTAAACATGCCTCCCCACCCACACATATCTCCCCACACACGGTAGAAATGCCAAAGCAGGAATACAAAAGCTGGTGTACAAATATGACATCCGCTGTTAGATACCCCCATGCAGCTCTCCAGCCCACCTCTAGAAATGTATCACACACGATGTACTTAAGAGTTCTGGAAGCAACACTTTGAGGTGTTCAACACAACTACAGCTATGCAAATTCAGTGCTTTCCTGTTTAAGCAATCAGATTTCTAGTAAATATATTAACTACATGCAGACACATAACTGATAGCAAGCCAAAGTGAATATTTTAGTAAATACTATCATAGCCTTCACTCCATTCTGTTACCTTATCATAGGTTCTAAATCTGGATGTCGTCTTTCTTCTTGTTTCTGGAAGCCCTGGTTTAGTGCTCCTAAAATTGTCTTGTCAAATGCTTCAGAAGAGAGTTCCTTTGGAAGCTGAAGAGGCAGGAAATGTTAATTACTGACAACTAAAATTACCTACCCCGTACAACAGAACCAATAATGTCTTAGATTACACCTAAAAACAGTTTTAGATTAATTAATTTTTAAACATTGGTTAACGGCAAAGTTTGTGTGACAAATACAACTCCTTTCTAGCGAGACAAAGCTATCACAATGTTCCTGTTTTGTAGCCAATTCTGTTTTGTTGTTTATACCTTTCACAGAGCAACAGAACTGAACCCCACTACCAAACCATCTGGAAAACAGTGAGATTTCATTTCTGAAACCATATTAAGAAATTACTCTCTAGATTTCCTCCTTCACTAACATTTTTTATCTCAGAGTGGTCCTGTGTATAAGTCACTATGAATACAGACCTCTTTTTGGTTTCATTTGGTTTACATGTTATGGAGGCCAAAATCTCTTTTCAGTCTGAAATTCTATTTCAACCATAACGCAAGGATAATTTTCATAAATATCCTGATTTATTTCATGATCGTCACTACTATACTTCCCATGTAAGATTAAATTGATATTAGTGTACATCAAGACTGACATAGTCATATCAGTATTTGTATTAGACTTGAATCTTAACAGATGGCTTTGAAAAGTTGCAAATATAGGATGGGATCTTTTAAGATGATACACTGCACATACAAAAGGAAGCCTTATCCTATTACAAAGCAGCCACCACTGCAGCGAAGACTACGGTAGTATTTTCAACTCTGCAGTGATCATCAACCTCTTTAATAAAAATCACAATCAACCAAAATTTAAATCAGATATAGGAAATGTGTAATGATATGCTCACACAGGATAATGACCCCTTCATCACAGGAAGTCCCCCCAACATCGTAACCAATCCTGTACCACCACTATACTTCATTCTTCCAAGTGCCAATATCTCCATATGGTATCTCAGACAGTTTCCTTATACACTGGCTAAATAGCCAAAGCTGATAACAGTGGGGAAATGTAAATCAGACCCACTGGGATTAAGAAGGTTGGCCATGCCGATTGGGTGGAAGTAAGAAGATAGAGGGCCACAAGAAGCCACTGAATAAACCATCACCCCTCTAGATCGGAAGCAGCACACATAGCTCAACTGCAACTACAGCTGACCTAACAGGGAGCAACTAGCCCTTGCAAATGTTGAAACAATAATCTCCTAACCAAACTCAACACAATGCTCAGCATTCTGTAAGAAACACCAAGCTCAAAGCATACACCAAATCTGTAACTAGTTTAAACTTTTGGGTTTTTTTACGGCCGAAGCCAGCAATAACATTTAAGATACAACAGAATTAATAAGTAGTAAGAACCTCTGTAGATAAAAATAAAAGAAGCTTAAAACAGCAATAAAATTCATTTTAAAATTCTTAAGAAACATGCAGTTAATAGCAGGGTGATTGATGTTAAACTTCCTGAGTTGTTATAGATTTTCTAATTCTTAAAGCTAGCCATCCATATCTAGCCACTAGAAGTGTTACCTCTGAGTGTCTGTCCGCAAGGAGGTTTTTGATAATACTAACTCTTTGCCTACTTGTGAGAGGTAAGGACTTGGGGAGCAGAGGTGATTTACGGAGATTATTATAAGCCTTACAGTCAAAAATGATATGTTCTAAATTTTCGATGCCATCATTACAGCAGGGGCAAATACGTTCCTCAAGTGGGATTTTCTTATACTTTCCCTCTGTAATTGCTAGAGGAAGAGCATCCCAGCGCATAAGAGTAAATGTTCTCCTATATTCATGGTTTGACAGTTGGTGAAGATAGGCCATAGAACTTATTCTGTTAATGGGGTCCAGAAATCTCTTCCATTTCCCTATTCTGCCAACGTTCTGCCTATCAATATCCATAATCCTCTGTTTTATCAATTCTCTAGCTTTATCATATGCAAGAGAAAACAGGTATTGCTTTGTAAGGCCAAAATAAGGGAGTTTCTCTTCTATAGCCTTAAGCCAGGGAGGTATAAAGGTATCTTGTAATATTAAACACGTAAGCCCTTTAGATAGGAAAACTAATTTCAGCCAATAATAAATCACCATGATCCATAACCTTGCCTCCACAGTAATCATTTCGGTTTCAATTCAAATGAGTGCATTTGGAATGCCATTAAAGGTAAAGGTTTCCCTTGCTCGAAAGCCAGTCGAATCCGACTCTAGGGTTGCGGTGCCCATCTCCATTTCAAAGCCGAAGAGCCAGCGCTGTCCGAAGACGTTTCCGTGGTCGTGTGGCCGGCATGACTAAACACCAAGGCGCACGGAACGCTGTTACCTTCCCACCGAAGTGGTACCTATTTATCTACTCGCAATTTCTTGCTTTCGAACTGCTAGGTTGGCAGGAGCTGGAACTAGAGATGACCAGGGGAGGCCTGGAGATCTCCCTGAATTGCAGCTGATCTCCCGTTCCAGAGGTCTCCATCTGATCTGAAGACCAAGTCCTATGAGGAAACGTTGAAGGAGCTGGGCATGTTTAGACCTAAGAGGTGATACGATAGCCATCTTCAAGTACTTAGAGGACTGTCATATAGAGAGGATGGTGCAGAGTTGTTTTCTGTTTCCCCAGAAGGTCGGACCAGGTACTTGTAAAACAGATCTCAGAAATTTTGACTGCACTGTATCCAGCTTCTTATAGTTAGATGTAATATTGATGGGGGCTCCAAAAGTAAGTTGATAGAGAGATTTGGCCTTAAATAGTCTGAAGGCAGTTACAAGACATTTACCCCCTTTGTGCCAGTAAAATTTTTGTATTGCCCCCGTGCTCCTTTTTGGCATTTATGGCCACAAATCTGTAACTACATTTGTCAAATAGGACAAAAAATTACATCTACCTTGCAAATCATGCAAATACATTTCATCTCCTGCTAGCACTGTGCCTTATCCTATAGCAAGGCTATGATGCGGTGTCTTCTTTAAGTACTTACTTTTAGAAGAAATTCTTGTAGCTCTTGGTGTGTTTTTGTTACACAGGATATAGAATGATCAGACCAGGTTACCTGATGAAAACAAAAGCAGTTAGAAGGCAACCCTTGTCCTATGTAGGACTAGTGTCCATCACATTACTGCTATCCAGCCCAGTCTTTACAAGGCCTGCCCTCTATACTCCACGTGCAGAGGTGAGGAGGGTGGTAACGAGAGACAGGGCACCAGTTAAAAGCCTTCCCCCCCTTGAGGCTTGCATGGCCTGTACCCTACTCTCTTTTAGGCAGCAGGTCAAAACAACTGCTTTTAACTAGGCAATCTGCTTCTAGCATGAGGACTAATGAGGATCAATTAGGCTGCCAAGTCTTTTATGCATCTAATGGTTGTTAATTTTAATGATTTTATCTTTTGTGTTTTCTGAGCCGCCTTAAGCAGGTCTCTGAAGAGGTAGCACATTAACATTTTAAATAATTTGTCCAAGGAGCTGAGGGCTTCACAACCACCCTGTGTGGTAGGACAGGCTGGCCCAAGAGTGTAGTGAGTTTCACAGCTGGAAAAGGAGCTGATCCCAGCCTTAAACCAACACCCAAACCACTATGCTGGTTCTCCTCAAAATGACACAAGAACAGCAAGTCGTGACAATCATTTACACAACATTTTTGGCCTTCAGAAGCATTGAAATCAGCAAGACACAAATGCTGTGCCCATTCTAAACCAGTGCCATTCTAAACCACTGCAACAGGCAACTTGAAATATTATTATTTTTGGGTCACTTCAGACAATATTAGGAGACAGAAATTTGTTAAATGTCAGCCTTAAGTACAGAACAGCCTAACATTTTCAAATACACTTCCACAGTATTTCAAAGTGTTACAATACTTTGAATGTCAAATTCACATTTTCCATTTTCTATGCTGTTTTGTTACTGGGAAAGCATTTACCATATTTACAGGTCTCTTATTACAAATATTAAATACGATTGAATAATAATTGGCATCTCGAGAGGTATCCTGTCTACCAGGTGCATGCTTCCAGAATGTCACAGAAAGGATAGGAAGATCCATCAAACCCACAGGTTATTATGCTTTCTTACTCATCCATGTGGGAACAAATAATACCGCCCAGCACATCCCAGAACATATTAAAAGAGACTATGTGGCTTTGGGTAAAAAGGTGAAGGACCTGGGAGTACAGGCTGTGTTTTCGTTAGTTCTTCCTGTTGAAGGCCGTGGCTTCGGAAGGGAAAAAAAGAATACTGCAAATAAATGACTGGCTACGTAGATTGTGTCATCAGCTTATGCTTTCAAGACGAAACTTCTATCGGGAGACTGTTTGCACCTCACAAGGATAGGGAAAATGTGCTTGGTAAGAGCACTGCAGATCTAATAAGGAGATCTTTAAACTAAATCCCATGAGAGAGCAAGACAAAAATTCAAAGCCTGGTATGATGCCAGTAACTGTCAAGAACACTAAAGATTCGCGGGAAGTGACACATATGCTAGGAAACATTAACTCACAGGTAAGTACAGAAACAAAAGCCTCAGGGCACATATACCATGGATTCCAATGTCTCTACACTAATGCGTAGCTTATGGGAAACAAGCAGGAGGAACTTCGAAGTGCTAATACAGGAAGGGAACTATGATCTAATAGGCATTACTGAAACTTGGTGGGAAGACACTCACAATTGGAATATTAGGACTGAGGCGTACAGCTTGTTTAAAACGGGAAGACAAATAAGGGAAGGGGAGGAGTAGCTTTAGATGTAAAGTAGGTATATACTTGTGAGGAAATACATGAATCTCAGTGTGGAAGTTCAGTTGAGAGTCTCTGGGTAAAAATAAAAGGAGTAAGATATTATGGTGGGGGTCTGCTATAGACTACCAAGCCAGGCAGAGGACTTGGATGAGACACACCTTAGAACAGATTACAAAGTTCTTAAAGAGATGGGACATGGCGGTCGAGATTACAGTTACCCAGATATCTGTTGGAAGTCCAACTCTGCTAAAAATGAAAGGTCCAATAAATTCCTGACTTGTCTTGCTGACAATGTTGTTTTTCAGAAAGAGGAGAGGGAAATAAGGGGATCTGCTATCTTGGACTTGATTCACACCAACAGGGAAGAACGTGTTGATGAGGTGAAAGTAGTGGGCACCCTGAGTAGTAGTGACCATGTAATTTTGGAATTTACAGTCTTGGGAAAGGGAAAAGCTGTACGTAGTCAGACACATAGGCTGGACCTCAGGAAAGCAAATTTCGACAAAGTTATGCTGGGTAGAATCCCATGGTCAGAAATACTTAAGGAGAAGGGAGTTCAAGAGGGGTGGGAGTTTCTTAAAAGTGAAATGTTGACAGCACGATTACAAACGATTCCTATGAGAAGGAAAAGCAGGAGGAGCCTAAAGAAGCCAAGGTGACTCCGTAAACAGCTTTCTAAAGAATTGAGAAATAAGAGAGACTCGTTTAGGAAATGGAAGGAAGGCCTTATAACCAAGGATGAATATCAACAAATAGCCAGTGCTTGTAGAGAGAGAGTTAGGAAAGCTGAAGCTCAGTATGAGCTCAGGCAGGCAAGACATGCTAAAGACAACAAAAAAGGGTTCTTTTCTTATGTTCAGAGAAAGAAAAGAAGCAAGGACAGGGTAGGCCCATTGCAGGGTCAGTAAAGTTAAATTGTAACAGATGAAGAGAGGGCAGAACTGCTCAAGTCCTACTTTTCCTCAGACTTCTCTTGAGAGGAAAACAGTGCCCAACATGGCAAAAACAGAACACATGATGAGGGAAGGGAGTTGCAGCCGAGCATCGGCATGGGGTAGTACATAAACACCTAGTTCCTTTAAATGAAGCTAAAGTCCTCAGGGCCAGATGAATTGCATCCAAGGTTACTAAAAGAGCCTGCAGATGTAGTTTCTGAACTTCTGCCCATTATTTTTGAGAATTCTTGGAGAACAGGTGAGGTGGCAGAAAACTGGAGGCGGGCAAATGTTCAAGAAGGGGAAAAAGAAGGATCCAGGTACCTACCGGCCTGTCAGCTTGATGTTTGTATCTGGAAAAGCTTTAGAACAAATCATCAAGCAGTCGGTCCTTGAGCATTTATAAAGGATGGCTGTGATCACAACATGGGTTTCTCAGGAACAAGTTATCTCTTTTTTTGAGAAATTACTACCTTGCTGGATCAGGGGAATAGTGTAGACATAGTTTACCTTGATTTCAGTAAGGCTTTTGAGAAGGTTCCACATAATACTCTTGTTGGCAAATTGGTAAAATGTGGTTTGGATCCTATGACTGTTAGGTGGATCCGTAATTTGTTGACAAATCGCACCCAAAGAGTGCTTGCTCATGGTTCCTCGTCCTCTTGGAAAGGACTGACAAGTGGAGTGCCTCAGGGATCTGTCCTGGGACCTGTTTTCTTCAACATCGTTATAAATGATTTGGACGAAGGAATAGAGGGAATGCTTATTAAATTTGCAGATGATACTCAATTGGGAGGGGTAGCAAATACGGTAGAAAGGGTCAGGATACAGGATGATCTTGACAAGCTGGAAAACTGGGCTAAAACAAATAAAATGAATTTTAACAGGGATACATGTAAAGTTCCACATTTAGGTAGGGAAAAAAATCAAATGCATAATTATAGGATGTGGGAGACTTATCTTGGCAGTAGTATCTGCAAAAAGAATCTAGGGGTCTTAGTAGACCATACACTGAACATGAGTCAGCAGTGTGATGTGGTGGCTAAAACGGCAAATGCCATTTTGGGCTGTATCAACAGAAGTATAGTGTCCAGATCACACAAAGTGATGGTATCGCTTTACTCTGCTCTGGTTAAACCTCACCTAGAGTTTTGTGTTCAGTTTTGGAAACCACAATATAAGAAGGATATAGACAAGCTGGAATATGTCCAGAGGAGGGCAACCAAGATGGTGAGGGGTCTGGAGACCAAGTCCTATGAGGAAAGGTTGAAGGAGCTGGGCATGTTCAGCCTGGAAAGGAGACGACTGAGAGGTGATATGATAACCATCTCCAAGTACCTGAAGGGCGGTCATATAGAGGATGTGTGGAGTTGCTTTCTGTTGCCCCAGGAGGTCGGACCAGAACCAAAAGGTTGAAATTAAATCAAAAGCGTTTTTGGCTAAACATTACGAAGAATTTCCTGACAGAGTGGTTTCTCAGTGGAGCAGGCTTCCTCAGGAGGTGGTGGGCTATCCTTTGGAGGATTTCAGACAGAGACTAGATGGCCACCTGACAGCAATGCTGTTTGTGTGAACTTCGGCAGATCATGAGAGGGAGGGCAGGAAGGGTTGCATCAGCCACTTTGGGGTCAGGAAGCAATTTTCTCCTGGCCAATTTGGCCAGGGATCCTAGAGGGTCCCCCCCTCTTCTGCGCACAGAGCAGGGGTCACTGGGAGTGTGTGTGGGGGGAGAGGTATTTGTGAATTTCCTGCACTGTGCATGGGGTTGGACTAGACGACCCTGGAGGTCCCTTCCAACTCTATGGTTCTAATATGTATGTACTACTGTTCAACACTGCTGGATCAGGCATCTAACTGTAATTGGTTTTATCTATGTACTAGTATACATTTACAGGCCCTGATGCTGTGTGCATTACTTTCTCATCTCAGTTTCATATAAGAAGACTGTTCTAAGGCATGTACCATGCACATCAGGGCAGCAATCATCAGTTGTTGCTTGGAGTTAGAGGGACTGCTACCCTCATGCACATCCCTGCTTTTCGTACTTCACCACTGAACTGCCTTGTTGGGCAGCAGGTATGAAAGAGGTTGTGAGCAGTCTGCCTTAGTGGATCAGGGGGCAATGAAGCTGAGTTTCAGGCTGCTAGAAACCATCGTTGCTATCAAGCCCAGTTGAAATATGTGGAACCCTGCATGCCTTAGAACAGTCTTCCTTGTGTGAAACTGAGATGAGAGAGTATCATGATCAGTAGGTGAGGCTGGGCCTACAACTCCCAGAAGCCCCTGGGAGGTTTTGGAGCCAAAATGGACCAATGGGAAAAGAGGAGGGCTTGGAATAAAAGTTCTGGAGCAGCAGGAAGAGCTGTTCTTTCTTCCAGAGGGCAGAGCCAGAAGAAAGGCTCCTGCAGGGGAAAAACCCTCATCCTGAGGGAGGGGTGAGTACTGTTATTATCCTGCACCTTGTTGTTTGACCTCCTATAAAATAAACCTTTTCCTTGTTTTACTCTGCCTGGTCCTCACGCCTGTTATTCGGCCTAAAGGGAGGTCTGAAGGTCTTGGGAGGGTGCTCTGGGCCTTCTCAAGGGAGCCTAAATCCAGAGTGGTGGCAGCGTTAGGTGACACCCCACGTGAGTCGTGACATGGTGGCTGTAGTGGTGGGATGAACTAATTTTGGACCCTGGTGAGGCAGAGTGCCATTTGGCCTTGGCAGAGAGAAAAAAAAAATATTTTTTGCTTCTGGGCTTAAGGAAGCCCCATTGTTTGAAGGTGCTTGCAAGACCAAGTAAGGGTCTGGTAAGGTGTGGTGAAAAGGTTTTCTTTACGTTCTAGCTGTTGGGTCAACTGGATAGTGAGGCAGAGTTAGATAGTGCATGTTCCTCCGATCTGGGAAAGAAAAATCAGAGGACACGCCTGTCGCTAGACGCAAGACCCGAGTAGGGGCTGCAGGTCTCATGTCAATGAAGGACACATCAGAGAAAGCAATGGCATCCCTGAGTGTAGAGAACTTGTGTCTCCAGCTGCAACTTAAGCAGGCAGAGCTGGAAAGGTACAAAACACTGAGGGAAGAGAGAGAAACTGCAGCGAAGATGGAAGAATTAGAGCGAGAGAGAATGAGGCTGGCGCATGAGTTGGGGATGGCCAACCTAGAAAAGGGCCAACCTCCTACAGATGCCACGGAAAAAGAGCCACCTTCACTTCCTCCAGATGCTGATGTACAAGGGGATAGAAGGAAGTATCCTCTGTATAAGGAAGGCTGGGGTGGGTCGTGGAAGGTAGCTGTGCACGATTATACCCCGGTAGCCATGTTTGTGGGGGAAGATTTAGCAGAGCAGATGACTGTGGAACCCAGAGTCCATGAACCTGAGATGGCAGAAAAGGTGGCCAATCCAGAGGAAGATGTCTACCTGCAGTTCTTACAGGACTTTGAAAATGTTCCTGAGCAACCCAGCCGGTGACACCCCACCTGAGCCATGACAGAGAGTAAAGCAGACAGCATCAGGGTCTGCAAATGTATAGTAACAGAACAAACATGATGCCATTTAGGAAGAGACATTCACTCCCTATATCGCCTGCAGCTTCCTCGAAACATTACCTCTGTGGTAGTGTATATAATTTAGTTGCTGCCAGAATTCAATTTCGGGCCACCATCAGCAGATCCCCTTTGTTAGGTTTTGACAAATACAGGTATTGTCTCAAAACCGACGAACAGACGTCAAAGGGGGAGCTAGAAGCATCAGCCTCCCACACTACCAGCATGGTGTAGTGGCTAGAGTGTCGGACTAAGTACTGGGAGACCCGGGTTTGAATCCCTATTCTGCCATTGATGCTGGTCAAGTAACCTTGGGCCAGTCAAATGCTCTCAGCCTAATCTACTTCACAGGGTTGTTGCGAAGATAAAATGGAGAATTATGGAAGCCACCCTGGGTCCCCACTGGGGGAGAAAGCTGGGGGAGAAATGAAGTAAGTAAATAAATATTAAGGCTCCGAGTATGCCGAAGGCTATCTTTAGCTAAAACCCTACTTCCCATTCCTGGTAGATGTGCAGATAGGCAAATCCATACAATAGGGTGAGTCACAGCTATGATTTATTAAAGTTCTACAAACATAGTTTTTTTTTTTAATAAACCCACCCTAATCTGATGTTGCAACCCCCTCCCACTGCCGAGTTCAGACAGCATTTTGGATCGCTGTAGAAACCTACAAGGATACCAAACTTCACAGTAGCAGCTGCAACTACCAGGCAGGGAAGAGGCAGAACTAAGCTGCAGCTACTGGCAAGGCAGAGAGAAGCCAGAGATGCAGCCAATGGTGGGGAGAGAAAGGGGAAACATAAGCCTCCCCCCTCCCCCACAAATCCCCCCAGGCTCGTTTTGCATACTGCTCTCATGCCTCATAACTTTGAACACTACATATTTGTAAATGCAGGCAGATCACTCACTTTGAAAGTATATTCTAGATGTTTGTCAGCCCTTTTCCTTGGTGCACCTTTCAGCATTATCTTCTCAATATGGACAGCTGAAAGAAATACAGTTTCACATCTTTAGCATGTAAATACTTTCCACAATTAACTGATCTGTCAAGTACCCCTAATTCTGCCTGTACACTGTGGTCCTAAGGGCTTCAGCAGCATTTCTGGATACTACCTGCCCCTGTGTCTCCTTATAGTGATGGCATTGAGAAGCTGTAGCCTCCTAAAACTGAATCAATACCATTATGCAATGCAGACATTCCTCTGTTGTGTGTCAACTTGCGCAAATACCATGGGCAGAGGGACACAGACATTGGTCTACAGACTCAGTTTTTTTACTTAAACAGCATTATTTGTATAAGTACTCTACCTCAATAGCTCAGTGGCAGGCCAGAATGAAATCTGAACTTCAAGTCAAGGTCCCAGACACAGTTTGAAGCATTTTGGAGAATTTGCATTAAAAGGACAATGCAGTTTTGAATTACTTTCTTGTATCTTCTTAAACAGCGATATGTTGACTTTATCAAAATGCAATGGTCTTTGCATTCAGTTACTCATTCTAAGGAAAATGGAACATCTATTTCTATCATGAAACCCAGAAAGGGACATGTCATGGAAATCACATTAGAGCAATAAGATGAGGAGGTACACTTAGGGCTGTTACCATGGAAGCAGAAATGGCTCAGATTCTACTGCAAAAAGAGGCACGGTGGGAATCCACCCTTCAACCAGATTCAATGGCCTCTTTTCTGGTGACTAACACATATTATACTACTTGATACAATTTGTTTAATGGTACTGGAGCATTACATACTTCACGGCAACAGGAGGGCCAGCCTATGACATTTGTGTCATACACAATGTGTTTCAATATATTTACATTTAACAACACATTTAGGAAAAGTATCTGGTTATTTGCTGTGAAAAAATAACTGTGTGTAATTAGGGGAGCTAAACAGGAGGAAGGCCAGGGGAGGTTACAGACAGTTGCTAACACGTATCAATTGTGAGCCAGCTACTCTCAATCTAACCCACATGAATGTGTGTATTTGGTGCTAATCCCGTTTTATCTTGAAGGGTTGTTGCTACAGTTGCCACAAGATTCTCATACATTCAAAGTACTACAGACACTAAGGATATGTATCATCAGTTTTTACGCAGTGACCATCACACCGATGTTACCAAAAAAAACAAGAACTATGATAATCTACTGAGACTCAATGCACACACAGTCCTTAGCGGTGGACACAAAGAGAGTGGAGCATTGGTCTGCATGCTTCCTTCCCACCATCTCTCCTTCCATTAGGAGAATCCCACCGCTTGTCAGCTGTGGTAACGACGGAGCATTACACTGGCACTGGTGTTAAAATAAACCAGGCTTACAGGCAGTGTTCCCTCTAAGCTGAGTTAGTGTGAGCGAGCTCACAGTCTTTTAGCCTCCAGCTCACAAAAGTTTTGTCTTAGCTCAGGAAGGATGGCTCCATGGCAAACTAATTTATGCAGCAGCCAAATCGCTCACTCATAGCTTTAATGACAGTGGCACACACGGTAGATTTTTTTGTTCACAAGACACCACAGCTTAGAGGGAGCATTGCTTACAGGGTCTCTTTTTATATCCTGGTTAAACCAGAAGCCTGGATTGGCCATGATTGCCAACATCAGAGGGATTTATGGTCCAGGAGCAAAGGGATGAGGGGGAAGAAGCATAAAATCCTGCAAACCACTCCTGCGGGCTATGCTTGAACTAGCCCTGTGCAATTCTGCTTGTATGCAAGTGGCAAAAGGAGCAGTGCTTACAGCTAGATAACCGAACAAGTAAACAAATGCAAAACGACAAGGTATGAGGGGTTTTTTGGTCAATGTACCTTCTTGCTGTGGTCTGTGGGAGGCCATCATAAGTTTATCATGAAGCACTGCTGTCTGTTCATACAAACTGTTCTCATTACTGGGCAGGCAGCTATGGGAAAAGTTCTAAAGTGAAGAAAGAAAATTCAAGAAGCATAAATTTATTCAGAAGCATAAATCTAATAATGGAAAGACTCTAAATAATGTACATATGAGAAGGCAAGCACTACAAAACTACCTGCATACAATTTAGAACACGTCAGTTTTTAGAACGCAGCTGGATCTCTACATGGCTACCAAAAATATGTTCAACCAGTTTTGAATAGGACCAGTGCTCTAATAGCTAAGAACAGTCTTGCCACACCTTGAAGAACAAATGTATCAGCCAGCAACAAAACATTGTCAATTTAATGTACATCAAACATCTAGAATGGCTTGGCAATAGCACCTACAATTCTTCATGCACTGTGTTTCTACACCCACAACACCTATGTTTCTGTATCTAGGCAGGCTGCCTGGCAGGTGCTTTTCATCATGCTCAGTTTCCTCAACATGCACAGGACCCGAAGAAGGCCACAGGGAGGAGTCTGCCTTGAATGCAGGTCCCAGGTTCAATCCCTAACCTCTCCAGTTAAAAGAACCAGGTAGGAGGCGATGTGAAAGCCCTCAGCCCGAGACTCTGGAGAGCCCCTGCCAGTATGAGTAAACAACACTGACCTTGATGGACCAAGGGTCTGATCCAACATAAGGCAATTCAGGCGAGAATGTTTGTCCGCTATGTACCTTCCACACATTCTCAGCTCCTCTTGCTAAACGGAGGGCTCTGAACATCAAGCTAGCCTTTGGGAAGTCCCCGTGGTGGGTATGAGCCTGAGAAGAGTCAGCAGGAATATAGAAAGCTGCTGGCATTATACCGCTAGGAAAGGAGATGGTGACCTAATGTAAGAAGAGCCCAGTGGTCTATCTAGTCCAGCAAACTGTTTCACACTATGGCCAATCGGTTGCCCTGGAGGGCCAAGAACCTGGCAGGGAGGCCCAGACATTGCCACTCAGCAATGCGTAGGTTGCCTTTAGTCACCAAGGCTACCAGCCATTGACGGATCGATGCTCCATGAATCTGTCTGATCCCCTTTCATAGCTAACTTATTTGGGACAGAAACTGCTCATATACTGATATGAAGCAGCCTTCATGTAAAATCACATGGTTACATTGTGGGGACTTTTTTGCCATCAGGTCACACAGCAGATTTATGGTGACCCTGTGCGGTTTTTAAGCCGAGACACATTCAGAGGTGGTTCGTCACTGCTTGACTCCACCCCATGACCCTGGTACTCCTTGATGATCACCCATCCAAAGACTGACTGGGGCTTACCCTAGCTTTCGAAGTCTGACAAGGACAGGCTACCCAAGGCCATCCAAGTAAGGGTAGTTACACTGTACAACTTACTAAATCCCAAAACTTGATGTGGTCCATGATACAGTCATGGTCATCTTCGTATTAAAAACCCTGCAGTGTTAAACTCCCCCCCCCCAAATTGGGGGGTGGGACGGGACTAAATATACTGTTTAATCTACTTAAGAGGAGTGCTGTGATATAGTTTTTAAGGTGCTAGAAAGGCTTTGCTGTTTCTGTTGCAGACATGTTCTGGCATTAGTTTTTGTGGATATTCTTTTATTATTCACCCTTCAGAATGCAGGAGATGCAGACTCTTAGACATTAGACCCCACTGTGCAATTGTATCCTAAACTAGTAGATCCTGAAGAGATTCCTGCAACCTGTCTACTGAAAAGCCTCCAATTAATATGCTGCTTGTCCTGAGATGAATCAGGGGTATTAAAGTTAAGGTAGTTTCTCAAAGCCACCTGCAAGATTTGCTAGGAGTAAAGGGCTCCTTTTGTCCTCTAGGAAGAAGGTCTCAGCACACCAATGGGCAGCCATGGGCCATTCAATTCTCATCATGCTCTGCTCTCAAACACAAAGTCAGAAACAGCAAGCAGCAAATCTCCAATTCAAAATAGTTTTCAAAGTAGTCCCAAAGACTCCTACAAAGTTTGTATTTGTACATGACAAAAAGAAGCTACTAGTATAAAATGGGTCTCAGAAGTTGGCCACTTTAGAGAAAAAGCACTTCAACAAAGGAGGGATATGATAAAGAATAATGAGACTGCAAACTGTGTAGAGAGCAGAGATTTTAAAAAACACTTTCTCATAAAGCTGGAATTCAGAGTCACCACCTGAATACCATTTACTGAGGACAAAACACCAAGTGGCAATTTTCTTCATGCCCTACATTGAAGATATCCAGAAGTTTCTGTTTAGCCACTGCTGGAAACAGGATGCTAAGGGTACATGAACCCTTAGTATGATCCAGTAGGGTGCTTATATTTTTAACGGTTTAACCTAGAGCAGACAATATACCCGTCAACTGAGCAGTTAAATATTCCATGAAACCAAGAATGTGTATGCCACGACACAGCAACAGTTTGCATTTTTTAATTTTATTATAGTGGCATTAACAATAACTCCCTTAAAAAACAAAGCCTGTTTGTCAAGAGTTGTTACTATTGTGTTTCCTTTTTAAAAGATTAAAATTTTGTTACCACAGGAAGGTTATTGTTCCACGATAAAGGCGAAGAAAGTGCTTACCGAATTGTTCACATTTATTTTGCATTATTTTTGTTAAAAACTATAGTAATTTATTCTTTTTCAGAAGTTAACTTCCATAAGAAATAATTTGTTTTGTAATCAGCGTAAGCATTTGGATTATTATCATTATAACAAAATCTACCTTAAATGCTTAAGACATTCTTGACCAATATTTGACCAGGTCTTTTTCTGACCAGATGTGCAATTGTGGTTTCAGTTCAAGCTTCAAGTTACAATCTCCTTCCCTTCCTCTCCCCACAACAGACACCCTGTGAGGTAGGCAGGGCTGAGAGAGCTCTTTCGAGGACTGCTCTTGAGAGAACAGCTTTGAGAGAACTGTGTCTGACCCAAGGTCACCCAGCTGGCTGCATGTGAAGGAGTGAGGGATCAAACACAGTTCTCCAGATTATGAGTCCACTGCTCTTAACCACTACACCAAACTGGCTCTACACTGCACACTCCATTGGGTGCAAAATGCTGCAGCTCAGTCAACATCAGGAGCTAGGTGGAGCATGCACACTACACCCATTCTGCAGTCAGTCCACTGGCCACCTGACAGCTACTGGAGGTACCGGCCATTACATGTAAAGCCTTGGACCATTGTATCTGTAGGACCACCTTTCTATCTATGCTGTACCACAACTGCAGTTTGCTGTAGTGGTTAAGTGCGCGGACTCTAATCTGGGAGAACCGGGTTTGATCCCCCACTCCTCCCCTTGCACCTGGCTGGATGACCTTGGGCAAGCCATAGTTCTGATAAGAGCTGTTCCTGAAAAAGAGCAGTTTCTGCCAGAGCTCTCAGCCCCACCTACCTCACAGGGTGTCTGTTGTGGGGAGGGGAAGGGGAAAGGAGTTTGTAAGCCGCTCTGAGACACCTTTGGTTAGTGAAGGGCGGGGTATAAATCCAATCTCTTCTCTTCTTCTGCACTCTTCTGAGCGGGGCTATCTGCAGGAACCACCCTGCAAATGGGCAAGATCAACAACTGCCTGTCCATGTGCAGCCTCTGTGGCAGCCCCCACCCTTGTGAAATGCCCTGCCTGAGGAGGTCATGAAGGCTCCCATGTTTCTGGCATTCTGCAAACTACATAAAACAATTTTTCAGGAGACCATTTTTATAAAGGCGATATTATAGGAATGGTTCAAGAGACGTTTCAAGCAAAGAATCTGCTAACTTAACCACTGCATAGTACGCATCATTTGTGGCCGTATGTCTTATCCTGTTAGAGTACTGTACTTTTACTTCACTACTCATTTAAAACGACATGCTTGATACTTATGCTTTGGCCAGATTTCTGCAATCCCAGTCCTATCACATCGCTTATTAAATGCCTCATCCTGTTGACTGCATTTACTTACACTATGCAATCCCCTTGAGAAAGACAGACTACAACTTAATGTAAAGATCCAGATGGGTCACCATGTCAGTCTTCTGTAGCAGTATAAAAGAGCAAGAAACCAGCAGCACCCTAAAGACAAAATTTGTGGCAGGGGAGGAGCTTTTGAGAGCCACTGCTAAAGCTCATACCCTACCATAAATATTGCCAGTCTTTAAGGTGCTACTGGACTCCTATGCTTTTCTAAAGGTAAAGGTTCCCTTGCTTGAAAGCCAGTCGAGTTCGACTCTAGGGTAGCGGTGCTCATCTCCGTTTCAAAGCTGAAGAGCCAGCGCTGTCCGAAGACGTTTCTGTGGTCATGTGGCCGGCATGACTAAACACCAAGGTGCACAGAACCCTTCCCACCGAAGCGGTACCTATTTATCTACTTGCAATTTCTTGCTTTCGAACTGCTAGGTTGGCAGGAGCTGGAGACGGGATGCTTTTCTACAACTAATATAAATAAGAGACTGGCTTCCCCTGCCCATCAGTGAGTGTAATTGGGAGGGTTGTTTTAAGGAAATACGAGGGGAAAACTCCTGTGGTCTACGCTAATCCAAATATCCAACTACTATGCCGTAAAGGAAAAGTTTTTCTCCCCGATGAGCAAGAGTCCCAGGAGCACACCTTTAAAAACTAACAGGATCTGTGGCAGTGACTCACAAAAGTTCATGCTTTGCCACAAATTCCCTTAGTCTTTTAAGGTGCTCCGGGACTCTGGCTCTTTTCAGTAACTAGTGGTTCAGGAAGCCCATCCCCTGCCACAAATGTGGTTAGTCTTTTAAGGTGCTCCTGGACTCTTGCTCTTTTCCGTGAGCAGCCAGACTTGTCCCTGCCACTCTTTCAAGGCGCTCCTGGGCTCTGGGCTGGTTTCTAGGCTACAGACAACACACAGCAGCGCCCCATCTTGATCTACCACCCCCCAGGAGAGCCTCGCTTGGGGATGGCGTGTGGCGTTAGGCCAGGCGGGCCGTCCCGCTCTCCTGGGAGCGCCGGGTGATGAAGGAGCGGTGGGGTGCAATGTTCCCTCTAAGCTGTGGAGTCTTGTGAGCAAAAAGTCTACTTTGCGAGCTATCGACGTTAAAGTTGTGTGAGCGAGCGATTTGGCTCCTGCATGAATTACCTTGCTCTGGAGCCCCCCTTCCTGAGCTAAGACAAACAACGTGTGAGCCGGAGGCTATTAAACTGTGAGCTGGCTCACACTAACTCAGCTTAGAGGGAACACTGGTGGGGTGTTGGTGCGTGTGTGTGGTTGAGGCGCACGGAGGCAGGCCAGGCTTACCCGTCCCCCGCGGCAGGGGACCCCGTCCCCCTCCTCCTCCTCCTCCTCGGCGTCGCGGCCGAGCGCCCCGCGCAGCCGCTCCAGGTGCTCGCGGAGCGTGACCCTCTGGTGGAAGGGGAAGGCCGGGTGCAGGGAGGCCATGGTGAAGAGCAGCAGCAGCTCCTCGCGGGCCGCCGAGCCCAGCCCGCCCGCCTCCTCCTCGGCGTCCGTGGGGCCGGCGTCCTCCCCTTCGCCCCCGAGGGGCCGGCAGCTCTGCAAGACGGCGTCCACGCGGGGCAGGAGCCGGTGGAGGCGGGCGGCGGCCTCGCGGTTCTCGGAGCCCAGCAGGGCCAAGTAGACGATGAGCTTGGAGCGGGCGGCCGGGTCGCGGAAGTCGCTGCTGCCGCCGTTGTCGCCCGGGGGCGGCGGGGGAGGGGAGCCGGCCGAAGGGGCGGGAGAGGAGGAGGAGGAGGAGGGCGGCGGAGGCGGCGGCGGGCCGGGGGTCTGCGAAGGCGGCTGCTGCGGCCCGGTGGGGGCGTTGCTGCCGGTGTTGGCGGTGGTCGCGGGGGTGCTGCCGTTGGCCCTGGCCTCGGCGTCGCGCAGGCAGTGGTAGTCCTTGCGGGCCAGCTCCTCCAGGCACGAGCCCAGGAAGCGCAGCTCCAGCGGGTTGAGGAGGTCGAGCAGCCCCACGGCGAACTCCAGCCGCGCCGCCGAGCCCAGCGCCAGACCGAACCACTCGTACACCGCCTCGCGGGCGCCCCCGACGCCGACGCCCAGGCCGCACGCCCGGGGATTGGGAGGGGGAGGAGGGGGAGGCCCAGCGCCGGCCCCGCGCCGCCGCCTCGCCTGGCACGACAGGCCGCCTCCGCCGCCGCCGCGCTCCCGCCGCCCAACCGCCGCCGGCCCCTCCGCGTGGCGGCAGCAGCAGCAGCGGCGGCTCTTCTCCTCCTCGTCGCCCTCCTCCTCCTCCTCCTCCGCCTCCCTCGGGCCGGCCTGAGGCTGCCTCGCCGGCAGCTTCATCTTCAGCATCCTCCTCGGGGTGACGGGAGGAGGAAGGCGGGAGTGGCGCGCCGGGGGGCCGCGCGTCAGGAGGAGACGCCGCCGCCGCCGCTCATCTCCGCCTCCTCCGCCCTCCTTCAGGGGAAAGGGACTGGTCTGGCGCGGAGGAGGAGACGCCGCCTCAGGTGACGGCGGGGAAAATGGCGGCTGGTCCCGCCCGCCGCTTCGCCTCAGCGCGGCCGCGGAGGAAACGCCTGAGGAGGACCCGGACGCGGGAAAACGGGAGGCGCGAGGAGGGCTCTTCCCTCAGACACCACCCCTCCCTCCCGCCGTGGAAGGCGCTCACTGAGAGGGGGGAGGATTAAAAAAAGCGCGAACAGCCGAGGGAGGGAGGGAAAGTGGTACACCCCTCCGAGGTAGCCAATGAGAAGGCGGGCCCGTGGTGAGCGTCGGACGTTCCGGTAGCTTAGCGTGAGGCCCCCCCTCCCTGCAGGGCGGCGGTGAGCTTCCCGCCGGGTCCTAAGAGGCGCCCTCAAGCTCAGTTGACAGGCAATTAAACTGGGAAGGGGGGGGGGGGGGGGTTAAACTTCAATAAATGGAAGCCGCCCTGAGCCTGCTTTGCGGGGAGGGCGGGGTATAGATCTGATAAATAAATAGTCCACCCGTTCATTGTGGGTTTTTTTTAAAAAAATTCACGTTATTTGTAGTCTGTCATTCCCGCTTGGACGTAAGGCGGATTAACACAGAGCGGGTGGCTACTGATGGACCGAGCGGACATGCAGGAAACCATGAAATGGGGTGGTGGGTAGAACCATGTGGAAGGTCGGTCGTTCAGCAGTTCGAGACCCGAGTGTGCCGCATGACGGAGTGAGCTCCCGTCTCTAGTTCCAGCTCCTGCCAACCTAGCACTTCGAAAGCAAGAAATTGCAAGTAGATAAATAGGGACCACTTCAGTGGGAAGGTAACAGCGTTCCGTGCGCCTTGGTGTTTAGTCATGCCGGCCACAGGACCACGGAAACGTCTTCGGACAGCGCTGGCTCTTCGGCTTTGAAACGGAGATGAGCACCGCAACCCTAGAGTCGAACTCAACTGGCTTTCAAGCAAGGGAACCTTTACCTTTACCAGGCACCTTTAAGACCAACAAAGGTTTATTCAAGGTATGAGCTTTCGTGTGCAAGGCACACTTCTCCAGATACACTGGAATGGAAGGTTGAGTTCAAACTTAGTTTGAATAAACCTTTGTTGGTCTTCAAGGTGCCGCTGGACTCGAAATTTGTTCTACTGCTTCAGACCAACACGGCTGACCACCTGGAATTAAAAATAATAATAAATAACTGGAGATTTTGGGGGTGGAGCGTGAGAAGCACAGGGTTTGGGGTGCGGAGGGACTTCAATGGGAAACAATGCCATAGAGTCCATCTGGAGACCAGGTGTAATGCCAGGGGATCTCCAGCCACCGCCTGGAGACTGGCAACCCTGGGGGGATTGGCTTCTGCCACCATTACCAAACTCCCCCCCCCCTTTCCATGGAAAGTTCTCTCTCTCTCTTAACTTCCCCAGCCCCATTCCCGGCAGATGGGAGGCTGGGGAAGGGAAGGGAAGCTGCCTTGCCACTTCTGGCCAGTTTCACTCCTCTCCTTTCAGCTGTTAAACCAGACCAGAAGCTGCAGGGTGCTTCCCTTTCTTTCTTCAGCCTCCCCACTGCAGGAGTGGGTACACTGGGAGGGGGGGTGTCTGCAGGGGTCGTTTCGTAGAAAAAGAGCTAGGGGAACTCATTAGCATAACTCATTAGCATATGCCACACCCCCTGACATCACCAGAAGGCCACACCCCCTGAATGTGCTTGCCCGCTTCGGGAGAGGGGATCAAAGTGTAATACAAGCCTCCTCCGAGACTTGATCAACCAATCTCAACTCTCTCTTGGGTCTTGATGTCTGCCAGTCATTCCCCCTGCCAGGGGGAAGCCGCATTGGACCAAAATACAGTCCAAACTGCTGTAAGGAACACCCGTCCACCCTGAGCACTTACAGGGTGCGTCAAATTGCCATTTTACCCCGACCGGAAACAGGGGGTGGGGCGTCGTGTGCCCCGCCCCCTGCACCTCACCCGGGGGAATGGCGATCCCCCACGAATCGACCCCTGGGTGTCTGGCATTGTTGTGTAGTGGGTTAGACGCCTGTAGAAACCACAGAGACAGATGTAGTGATCAGCATGGTTTACTGGTACGCAACTAGAACATAGAACAGCGGCCGGTTGGCCAACTATATACAGTACCTGGGTGGGTTTAAACCTCCCGCCAAAGTCCCTATTGGTTCCCCAGGGAAAATCCAGAAGCCTAGTCCCCATTGTTCTGAGTGAGTTAAGCTTGGCAGTAAATCGCTGGCGCCTAGTGGCGGTCAGCGGACATAACAGGCATCATCAGGTGGTGGGGCAGCACGGCTCGTGGGTGGTGGGGCTTCACCCCGAAATGCCCCACCGTGGCTATGGGGCCGGGCTGTGTTTCCTTGATCGAGTCAGTCTGTCCAATGTTGGGTCTTCCTCGTTTCCCGCTGCCTTCAGCTCTTCTTGGCCTGAGTCCGGTAACCCCTTTAAGACCGAGAAAGTTTAATTCTGAGTATAAGCTTCCGTGTGCATGCATGTCTCTGAAGACGGTTAAAGGTAAAGGTTCCCTTGCTTGAAAGCCAGTCGAGTCTGACTCTAGGGTTGCGGTGCTCATCTCCGTTTCCAAGCCGAAGAGCCAGCGCTGTCCGAAGACGTTTCCGTGGCCGCATGACTGAACACCGAGGTGCACGGAACGCTGTTACCTTCCCACCGAAGTGGTCCCTATTTATCTACTTGCAATTTCTTGCTTTCGAACTGCTAGGTTGGCAGGAGCTGGAACTAGAGACGGGGGCTCACTCCGTCATGCGGCACACGCGGGTCTCGAACTGCTGAACTACCGACCTTCCACAGCCTGCAGTTCAGCGTCTTAACCACTTGAGCCACTGCAGCTCCAAGAAATGTGCATGCGCACAAAAGTGTATACCCAGAATTAAACTTTGTCAGTCTTAAATGGGCCTCTGAACTCAAAACTTTGTTCTGTGGCTTCAGACCCACACGGTTACCCGCCTGAATCTATTTTACTAGCATAATGATCTTTCCCAGTGAGTCTTCTCATAATGTGACCAAAGTACGATTGCTTCTGTTTAGTCGTTTTAGCTTCTAGCTTCTCAGGCTCGATTTGATCTAGAGCCACGTTAGATTGTGCATCCAAGAGGGAGCGAGCAGTGATAGGCGATTACATAGTTTCCCTCGACTTGTAAAGTTCATTTCTTGCCTAGGCTACTCCCACGGGGTGCCTTCTGTGCCCTGTATTTCAAGGGAGAGTCCATTGCAACAAGGCACTCGTTCTGCGCACAGCTCCCGGGGCTTCCCCCTTTAAAGGGGAAATAGGGGATGGATGGCCACAGCAAAGATGAGGAGGGGTCGGAGCGACACGTTCCCCCTTCACCCTTAGTCCTTGAAAAGGGTCTTTCCAGTTTGGTGTAACAGTTAAGAGTAGCAGACTCAGTTCTGGAGAACAGGGTTTGATCCCCCACTCCTCCACATGCAGCTGTTGGGTGTCCTTGGGTCAGTCTCAGTGTTGTTCTCTCAAGAGCAGTTCTCAGTCAGAGCTCTCTCAGCCCCACCTACCTCACAGGGTGTCTGTTGAAGGGAGAGGAAGGGAAGGAGATTGTAAGCCACTCTGACCCTCCAAGTGAAGGGTGAGGCTTCCTCCTCCTCCTCTTTCCCAGCTGACACAGGTTATAGCCGGGGTTCCCTCTAAACTGAGTCAGTGTGAGCTAGCTCACAGTTCTTTAGCTTCCGGCGCACCCATTTTTGTCTTTGCTCGGGAAGGATGGCTCCAGAGCAAACTCATTTACGCAGCAGCCAAATCGCTCACTTGCAACTTTAATGCCAGGAGCTCACAAAGTAGAATCTTTGCTCACAAGACTCCATGCCTTAGAGGGAGCATTAGTTATAGCTACAGGGTGACTTGGCTGAGAAAACGGGAAGGGGAAGGGGGGTTCTGGACTTTATGACTTTATGACTCTATGGAGCCAGGGGCAATTATTAGTGCTTCCGACACCAATGGGGGACATACGATGGGGTACACAGATGCCACTCCTGCTTGCTTCAGCACCACTTGCTGCTGCCAGGATGTCTGCGAAGTGTGTTCTCTGTCTCTGACCTGTGGGCCTTCCCCTTTTCCAAAGAAACTGCTGTTATCTCCTAAAGTAAATAACTCACCATCCTGGTATGCAAGTAATACTTCAATGGGTTGTGTCATAAGAGGTTTTCTATATATCTTCACTTTTCCGTTTCTTCCTGAAGTCTTCTCACGCCAGATGCTCTCTAATGCAGGGAGAACCCCCACTGTAGGAAGAGATGACCCCCCCACACACACACACAAGACGTTTTGGTGACTAACTGCAAACCTCAAATGATGTCTCTCCGTGATGGTAGAAATCTAGGAATAGGCAGTTTGCTGGGCTTTAATGATGTCTCAGCATCTGCTGCTTGAGGACAAATGGTCTAGAGCCAGTTTGGTGTAGTGGTTAAGTGCGCGGACTCTAATCTGGGAGAACCGGGTTTGATTCCCCACCAGTGTTCCCTCTAAGCTGAGTTAGTGTGAGCTGGCCTCCAGCTCACAGATCTTAGATCTTAGATCAGGTCTTAGGTCTTAGATCAGGACGGATGGCTCCAGAGCAAACTAATTTATGCAGTAGCCAAATCACTCGCTCACAACTTCAATGCCAGTAGCTCACAAAGTAGAATTTCTGCTACTCCACGGCTTAGAGGGAACATTGGACTCCCCACTCCTCCACTCGCACCTGCTGATGTGACCTTGGGTCAGTCACAAGCTCTGGCACAGCTGTCCTTGAAAAAGAGCAGTTTCTGTCAGAGCTCTCTCAGCCCCACCCACCTCACAGGGTGTCTGTTGTGGGGAGGGGAAGGGAGAGGAGATTGTAAGCCGCTCTGAGACTCCATTGAGTAGTGAAGGCCGGGGTATAAATCCAATCTCTTCTTCTTCTTCTTCTACCTCACAGGGTGTCTGTTGTGGGGAAGGGGAAGGGAAAGGAGTTTGTAAGCCGCTCTGAGACTCCTTTGGGGAGTGAAGGGCGGGGTATAATTCCAATCTCTTCTCTTCTTCTTCTACATTTGTCGAATGGGATTCCAGTTATCTAAACTATAAGTGCAAAGGGAGAAACAGGTTCCTGCCTGCCTGCCCGGG